CCAAGATGTGTGGCCACTGGCCAGAAGCCCTGGCAGGACAGAACTCGGAGAGCACGCCTCTGTCCCTGGCACTGCCAGTGTCATCCCGTATCCTTGGTCCCCACCCCGTGTCCTCCTGTGGGGCAATCAATAACATCAGGCGCCACAGCGTCCCACTCACCAGAGAACCACAGCGTTCATGAACGACGACGGAGCAGGCCAGAAAATACACAAGTACCAGGCAAGTCACACTGCTGTCACTGATCTGTCCTTCGCTGGGCTGTTGTATTGCTCCGACGAGATTCCATCTGGGTTTTCAAACGGGTGATTTTTTGGAAGAGTTTGTGCAAAATAAAGACAAGCATTTTTAACACAGAAAATAAAAGACATTAAAATACAAGGACAAAGGAAGGCAGAGGAGAGGGGCCCTGATGGAGGGCTCCCTTCCTTGGAAAAGCACCCTCCTTCCAGAGCAGTCAGCCCACGCCCAGGGCAAGGTCACTGCGGGCACAGCCAGCCCCAGACCAGCGTCCTGGGTGGTATCCTCCTGCCGAGATGGCGGCCAATGCCCCGGCCCCCACCGCATTTAAGAGGACGCTTTGAAAGCCAGTAACTTCCTAAGGCAGAAAGCTGAGCACAGAACACAGAAATTCAGACAAGGGCGCTGGTTCCCAGGGAAGCTGAGCCTCACGTTCCCAACGGACCAGGGCCAGGCTGCAGGCCGAGCCATGTGGGGCTCTGCAGACCCCTTCTCCCAGCGACAGCACGCACCCCCAGGTGCATCTTGTGCCCTGGCCCCCCCCCGCCCAGGCTCCTCCTCTGCCCTCCAACAGGCTGCCCTTCCCTCCTCCGGGCCCAGCCTGGCGGATGGGTAGGAGGAAAGGGTGGGAAGTTTCTAGCATCCTTATCCAGGGCCCGGGTGTGCACACTCATGCACACACACACCCCCATGAGAACATTTGTCAAAATGCAGATTTTGTCCACCTTTCCATCAGCAGGATCAAGGGCTCGATCAAGCGGCGGTGGGAGTGCTGCCTGCCAGATGAAAGCAAAGCCCGCTGCTCCCACTTCCGCCAAAGAGCCCGAGCCAGCCCCCAGAGCCCAGCAGCAGCCCGCACCCAGCAAGGCGGGGGGCCTGGAGGCAAGTGGGAGGCGCAGAGGCCTGAGGCTGGTGTTCCTGACCCACAGACTGACCTCAGATTCCAGTTTCTAAGGGGAGCTCTTAACTTCTGCTGCCCGTGTGCTGTGAACGGATGCCCCACATCCACACGGCGAGGCCCTGGTCCCTGGTGGGACGGCACGGGAGGTGGGGCCTTCGGGAGCAGGGGTTAGATGAGGTTGTGAGCGTGGGGCCCCATGACAGGGTCAGTGCCCTGATAAGAGAGACGCCAGAGCCCGCTCTCCCTCCGTCACGTGAGGACACAGTGAGGCGGCCGTCTGCAAGCCCGGAGGAGGGTCCTCACCAGAACCCGACCCTGCTGGTGCCCTGACCTTGGACTTCCAGCCTCCAGAACGGTGAGAAATCAAGGCCTGCCATGTGGGCGCAGTCTGGGATTCTGCTACGGCAGCCGGGCCGACTGAGATGCAGGGGACTGGCCCGGGCCAAGATGGCTCCTGAGGGGCAGAGGACGGAGTGAACTTCAGGAGCAGCTGCTGCTTCCTACAATACAGACCACCGGTGGCAAGGCTACGTTACCATCAGTTCCAACTGGGAGCTGCGACCCCCAGATTAAGCACGTGACCCTGACCTGGCCCTTCCTGCCAACCGCCCTAGAGACAGCTAGCCACAGGCCTCTCCTGCTCCGAGGGCATCAGGAGGCCCCGTGTGCCAGGGGGACACCCAGTAGACGGCTCTGCTCGTCTGAGCCGGACTGTCTCACGCCCCCACTCTAGACCGTCCACGAGCTGTCATCCCCAGGGCTTGTGAGGAGAGACTGTAAAACCTGGAGTCGTGGGACCCCACAAAGCCCATGGCAGGGCGGTTCCTTCCCCTGGAGATGAAGCTCAGGCCTTCCCTAACCCATCAATCCAGAAGTCACACCGTGGCTGCTGGCCTTCCTTCCGACCGGCAAGACTCCTGCGCACGTGGCACACAGCCGTGGGGACACTACCAGGTCCCCACAGGGACAGCAGACCAGGCACCACGGTCACCCCTCCTCTGAGGCTCAGGGTTGGCCCCTCGCAGCCACAACTGCTCCGTGTGACCATGTCACCCTCATCAGAGCTTCCAACCCAGGTGGAGTCACACAGAACCCTCCCCAGGAAGCTCGGGGACCAGAGCTGGGCAGAGAAGTGGCCCATCCCGGGCCGTGGGGTGTGGGAAGGCAGCCTTGCATCCCCACCCTGAGGAGACATCTTGTCCATAACAGAGAACATGCCCAGCTCGAGAGAGAGGCAGGGCCAGGAAGCAGAGGGTGACACTGTGCCTGTCCCCTAGATGCACTCGTGCACGTCCTATCACCTCATGTGCCCCTGGCAGAGGCTCCTTCACATTGGGTTTCTGTCACTTCCAACGAAAAGCCCCAATTAAGACAAGAGCAGAGGCCACGGCATGACCACTTACAGCACAGAATCAAGATCCTGGGACAGGACGGGACCTCCACTGGCCTGGGGCAAGCCTGGCGAGGTGCAGGAGTCAGCCATCGCGTCAGCACACCACTGTTTCCAGCCCATCCTCACCCCAGCACCAGCCTGCGCACCACAAGCCAGTGCTGCAGGGCACAGCCCATCCTCAGGGTGCCCACAGCCTGGGGGACAAGAGTGCTCACTTCCCCCGTGATACCACCCGCCTCGACCTGCTGCCCCCGAGTCCGACGCATGGTGCTGCCCTCACGGAAGCAGTTCTGTTCCATCTCGCATCTCCATAGGTCGGATTCTCTCGCTTCTGTTTCTCAAAATAGTTGATCTGCTAATAGTACCTTTTTTTTGGAGCGGGGGGACCACTGTTGTTACGGATTTACACTTTACATTATCAATGCTGTGTAACAGAATCACTCCAAATGTTAGTGATATTTTACAGCAATAACACTAAGGTAATAAATTTACCATCCCCTACAGTCTCTGAGAGTCGGGAATCTGGAAGTGTTTAGCTGGGTGGCTCTGGGTCCCTCGTGAGGTGCGGTCAAGATGTCGGCTGGGGCTGCGTCATCTGAGGGCTCGACAGGGGCTGGGGCCAGAGGGGCTGCCTCCTGGGCAGCGCCCTCACACCTGGCAAGGTAGTGGCTGCTGGAGTGACCTCATGGCATGGCAGCTGGCCTCCCCGAGTGATCCAAGAGAGACCGGGTGACAGCTGTCCCACAGGGTCACTTCTGCCACATCTTACCCATCAGAAATCAGTCACAAAGTCCAGCCCACACTCAAGGAAGAACTGGGCTCCATCTTTGGTGGGAACATTGTTGAAGAACTTGTAGACATATTTTTAAGACCACTACACTTAACTTTTAAAAATATCTTTGTCATTTCCCTAGATTCGGGGCAATGGGGAGATAGAACCAAGTGTTCATCACCCTGATCCAATTTCCTATCGTGTGCTCATCTTAACGTTGTTTTCAGGAGGCAGAGACTCCCAAGTTCTTCAGGAAATTGCTCCCAATATCTGTCAGATGCTTTCAACAAAATGCAGAAAGTTACAGTGTCCCCTCGGGAGAACTCTGGACCCCAGATAGGTTTTTCTTATCGCTTTTATCTTTACAAAGATAAAAGTAGCTCGATTTCCCCTTCCCGCCCCACCAGCAGTACTTAGCCTCGAGCAGAGCACAGGACCGTGGGATGCGTGGAGAACTAGGAAGTGTCATCTTCATCATCAGGGGATGAGGAAGGGAAGCTGGGGAGGTTAGTGGAGGCGGTCTCACTGGCTGTGCTAGCAGGTGGGCTGGCCTGTGCATTACCTAGAAGGTTCCCAGAGAGCCCCGACCCCTGACCCAGGAAGCGCCTGGAGACTGCAGCCTTCATTTGGGATTTAGGAAGAACATGCAGTTAATCACATGTGCGATTCAGCACACGCACACACCCCTCACATCCAAGGCCACCGGCTTCGAGGCCGTCCCCTGGAGCCAGGGGCTCAGTTCTCCTTTATGCCAGGGGAACGGGGCAGGGAGGCAGCAGCAGGACACAGGCACACAGCACCCCAGCAGCCGGGCAGAGGAGGCTGGGGGCTGACGAGCAGCTTGGGAAATCTGAGTGAAATCCTGAGACGGAGTCAACTCCAACAGGGCCACATGCTAACTTGTCTTGCACTGACTGCTAGTTTGTTCCTGTCACGTTCCAAAAGGAGGAATTACTTGGCTCTGTTTCACAACATCCTGTAATTCTCCAGTTCATTGCGTACCTCAGAAAACTATCTGAGGTTTCTAAAAGTTTTTGCATGATACACTTTCCAAAAGAAAACAGCTTTTAAAAAAATGACTTTTGAATTTAACATTCAGAGCCTGTATGACTAAAGCCAGATGTGTCAGTCATTCCCCCACCCAGCCAGCCAGGCACTGGGAAGGGTGCAGGACCCTCACCCTGGTGAACAATAGAATCCCTAGGCCCAGCCCCTCCCGCCTCCTGCATGTCCATCAGTGGTGAAATGCTTTGATCCCGTCCAATTTCCTCATTCTGAGCCTCCAGGACAGAGGCCCTGCTGGCTGCAGACCCGGAGCCCAGTCTAGTCGTCAAAGCCGTGCTGTGAAAATGAAAGATGTGAAGCTGCAAACTTCACTGTGTGATTAGGGAAACCCCATGGACACAAGTGGATTACCAACTCAGGAGAGGGGGACGACGCTTTGAAGTGACCACACCATCCATGGGAGGGACAGGCGGGGACTGTCCAAGGAACCCCAAGTGGCCCTCCACCCCACATCTGTCCTCCTCAGCCTCAGTCGGGGGCAGAAGGTGGGACATGGTGGAGAGAGCCCGGTGTCCCCGTCATTATCATCGTGCGGTCTGCACACACGTCAATCCTACAAACCCTCACAGTTTACCGAAACGCTGAAGGCTTGTGTTCCCTCTGCCCCGACCAACGCAGAGGCGATGAAAGGTTAACTTTAACATGGAGGTTTTAATCCAGTTTAAAGAGTACTTCACACAACCCGCCCTTCTAAAACATGAGGTTGATTTGGGGTTTTTCTATGATTCTAACAAATTAGGTATAATCATCTCTCAGAATTGAGTAAAAAAATAACATCCTAGTTTTCTTGTTAAAATTCAAAAGCTTGATTGTAAAAGATTTATAGTAGGTGACGTTAACCTAGAAATCTCACACTGAACAAACACTAACGCAGATGAAACGAACCATCTACACCTACGACCACGGAGACTCTACACGGAGCGCTTCACCGAACGCCGCGGCCCTCGACACACGGTGACCTCCAGCCACGAGCAGGATTAAGGCAGTTCCTCCCCTGGGAACAAGAAAGTGGGGGGAGCAACTGTGAGCGTCCCCGACACGAGGGCTTGTCCCCCAGCACTCTTCGTCTGGGGTGCTGGGACAAAGGTGTCTCCACCTGTCAGTCAGCTACCATCACACCTTCTCCTCAGGCAGGCGGGGCGTTGACTGAAAGCTGCCTAGAGTGGAAGCGCCAGGTCCAGGTCGGGCAGCTGAGGGCTGCATGGAGGAGGTGGGACTCATTCGGGTTACTGTTGATGCGTGCGCTAACACAGGGCTACCGAACCACTCATCTCAAACTAGAGAAAAGGCATGTGATTCGTTCACATTTCCACAGTTGCTTCTACGTAAAAATCAGTTTTATAGCTCCTTTCATTAAAACATATTCTGATCAAATAATCTCACAAAGGAAAGCTCACCTAGCCTCAAGTCTAACAGAAAGGAAGGAGGAAACGATAGATTTTCCGCTGTCGTCACGTCCAGGACCGCCACAAGGGGCGCCAGGCCGCAAGTGGCGCCCTAGGCTGACTGCGCCAAAAACTTCACGTACTGGCCTCGGGCCTCGAAGTGGTCAGCCGGCCGGTTGTACGCCGTCCACACCGGTTCTCCCACAAACAGCCGCATGGCCTTGACGTAGTTCTGCAAAACACACAAACACACCCAGCACCGCGTTAAACCAGCTGTCGAGACAGCCTCCCATGCTGTTTCATTCCTGTGTCTTAACACTTTAGTCACGTTTCATCCTCCGGAAGGACGTCAGCACCGGGAGCTCTGGCCAAGCTGAGAAGCCGGTGCCCAGGCAGCAAGAGTGTGGCCGCGGGCGTGGGCGCTGCGCTCTCCACGAACGCATCCCTGTGCGCCGACCCCGCCAGCCCACTCAGCCACCCCTTCCCGCATCCCCAGTACCATCTTCCTAAGCGTTCGCAGGGCCCTCGTGCTGATGACAAGGGAGGACAGCCTGGCATCGTGCTTCAGAATCAAAAATACTCATGCCTTTTAATCCAGTTTTCACTTTAGGAATTTATCCAACAGATAAACTCACTTAAGTGCAAAATGATAAATGCATAAGGTTATTCATTACAGCACCGTTTACAATAGCAAAGAACTGGAAACAATTCATAAACCCATCATAAGGGATCGTGCATTCGATGGACTAAATTCATGGTTAGATAATTAGGGAGCACCCAAGCATGGATGCCACACAGCTGTAAATAAGGGATGAGGCCCCACATACTGATCTGAAGCCATCCCCAAAGCATCGCGAGTGGAAAAAGGGAAACGCAGAACCATGAGCATCCTGTGTAAAAGGACAAAGAATTCTGATCCTCTTTCGCCTGAATATGGAGGACACCTCTCTAAAAAGATTTTTAAAGACATAATGCTGGTTACTTTCAGGGAGAGAACAGCAGGGCCGGAGCACAGGGGTGGGAGGGAGGTTTTCACTGCACACCCTTCCAAATGTCTGAATTTTAAGTCGCCTGCCTTTATTTTCCATTCAAAAGTTATTCTTAAATCTCAGGTTTAGTCCAAATCACATCCAGAGAACCTAAGAACTATCTCATTGCTGTTGTTTCCCAATCTCAATGACTGTATTGCACGACTGTTAAGTTCCAAAACTGAAATGCTGTTAAAAAGGACAACGTAACAAGGGGCGTCCCGAAGCTGCAGGCCTAGGATTAGTAACAATGCGCTCTCCACGAGACGGGCGGGACCGCTTCCTGCTGACCCGCTCCGCCTCGACCTGACCACGGCTGCGTGTACCGACATGTGCCACTGTCCGCCAGGAACCAAGGCGGAGCTGGCCAAGAACAAGGTGGACACAGGAGCCCCAGCTCTCAGCCTCCAGCTGGACCTCTCCGGGGAGCAAAGGCGCAGGAGCCGCGAGCCGCGGCTGCGTGTGCTCAGAGGCACTCGGCCTCACGCAGCAGAGCAGGCAGTGTCACAAGTCTCCGACATCCGTGCACAGACCAGCCTCAAAGATAAACACGACTCTACCTTCTCATCCAGCGTGAAGCGGTGATAAATGCCTGCAGGCAGAGTTATCAGGTCTCCTTTCTCCATGAAAATCCGGATCCACTTGTCCTCTTTATCTCTGACATCAAAGTAGCCGCTGCCCTCCAGGATGTAGCGGACCTCATCGTCCAGGTGCAAGTGCTCCTCGTAGAAGATCTTAATCTAGCACAGAAGGGACATTCTCTACGTCTACTGGAGACCATCGCGCACACGAGCACAGACCCAACCACTGGCCCACGCCTCCAAAGACCAGGACTGAGGTGGACGGAAATTCTCTCCATAGAAAGAAGTATTATAAGGATAAGGGGGCAGGAGCTAGAATATTTTATGAAAACTACCAACAAACTAGCAGTAAAAGAATTAAGACTTACACAGCACTTACCATGTCCCAGGCAAGATGCTAAATAGTTTACATATAATAACTTACATAGGTGCTATCTGTCATCCCCAGTGACATGAGGGAATGGTGGCACAGAGAGGCTAGGACCCTGGCCCAACATCACACAGCTTGGATGTGTAGAGTCGAGTCACCCACACAGACATCCTGGCTCCTGGCAGTCATGCTGATCACACACACACATGCAGTCACGCTGATCACACTGGCAGGTTAGAAGCCACATGAAAATCTGAGGAAGGCAGGCCCCGTCTCAATAAACGAACACTTTCCATCTGTTCAAATCTACTTCTGCCTTTATCCTCCTAATGTTTAATAATAAAAATATTCAAACATGCATTACTCTGATACAAAACCCAAACGAAGACATAAAAGAAAAAAGAAAGAAAAGTGTGTTTATTAGAAGTGAACATAATGACTCTCCTTTTCAAATAATTTAGAGTTCCCTTACCTTTTCTTCATAATTTGGCAGTTTATCTTTGCATATGGTTATGATATCCATCCAGGAGTAGTTTCTCTCTTTTCGGATCTTTTCTAATTCTGGATCATTCTCATACTTGTCGGCATCCAGCTAAAAGTGTTTACACAACAAAAGGAGGTCACACCAATGCAAGGAGACGAAACATCCTCTTTCTGGATCTCCAGGATGATGATACTTCTAAATTCTCACCTTCTTCCCCTCCCCATTCCCCTCCCCTCCTTCCCTGTTTCTCTCAATGGTTTTCCCTTTCTCCATAACAGCTAAAAATAACAACGGTGTATTTAATTCCTGCTCCCATCTTTCCAGCAGGCCTTTCTGGGGGATTCTAGTTCACATTTCTAGTCCCACCACCATGAGCCTAGGCGCAGCCCTCATCGCCTCCAGCCCATGCAGGGTGCACTCTCTCCACCGTGTCCCGCTCCTCCATCACCAGTCCACCCCCTGGGGTCTAACCAATCTCTCTATGGCGTCTCCTCAGTCAGCTCATTTCCAGGCCCTCAGACCTACAAACACAACGCAAGTTCTTTATGCTGGGAGAAGCAGCTTCCATTGTCTGACTTCAGGGGCCTTTCCGACTCCTCTGTCCCTATTTCCTGTTTCAAAAAAAAATCTACATTCTAAAGCAAACAGGACCATTTGCTACTCTTCACAAATACTTCATGCTCCACATCCCCACGCCCTTGGCCTTGACAGCTTCCTCCGCCTAGAAAGCCCTTTCACCACTGTCATTCATCACAATCCTATCTATTGTTTAAGGTCTAATTTTAATGTCACCTCTTCGGGAAGCACTCCCCTAGGGCCCCCGCCAGAGTTAATCTGAACTCCTACTTCAAACTATCAGCAATGAACTTGGCGTACTTTGCCTTCTGTTGCAATAAAATGCATCTTATCACAATGGCTGAACAGCAAACTCCAGGATATCTCAAAGTACTAGTCATCGATCCATTATTTCTACAAAGACTCCCCAAATTAGCAAATCCACCGCCACATGACATGCACACGGCTGCTCCACAGCACAACAATCGACTTCAGATTGAGCATGTGTGTAGAAGGGCCAGCTCTCCCTCTCCAGGCCACCGCACCAAGAGCGCACACGCAAAGTGCGGCACCTGCTCCCACTGGTCAAGAATGGGTATTATCAAGACGGCACAGACAAATACACAGGACACCAAAACCAGAGAGTAAACAGTTTTATTTTGACAGCCCTCGACTCACCATCCAGAGGGGAACTAGAAGGCAGAAGTGGGTCTGACTCTATGGAATAACAGAAGATGCCTTTCAAAACGTCTTATTTTATCCTTTGGATCATTCAGAAGCTGCCCAGCACGTCACTCTTGCTCTTAAACTGTCAGGTACACAATGGAAGCCCCGCAGTGCAGTCACTTGACCCTTCTGATTGTCTGGATTGCAAATAAATTATTTTATCATAAAACAAAACTTATTTGCCTCTCATGATAGACATTATTTACCACTTGACTGCTTCGAGGACGGTAAGTTCCAGTAGGTTGTGTTAAATCTTAGCCCAAGAAAAGATATATACTATGTAAGGATTAACAGGCACACGAAATGAAACTCGTGTTTCCCTCAGAGAAGTCCTTGCGACGCCAAGAAGCCTAGACTGGCGACCTCCACTCCCAGTGCACAGGGGCCGTCACCTCCGGTCTCAGAAGGACCAGGTCATCCAGGGACCCGTCGCTGGCCCTCGCTCTGATCCCCTCCCGGGGGACCGCGGGGCTGCGGAGTCCGCCGCGCGTGTATCCCTCGCTCCGGGCGGGCTGGGCACCCACGTGGGCACCCACGCCTCACCAGGCTCGGAGGGAGTGCACGCGGCCCCGCGCTCGCCAGAAGGTGGGTGCACCGCACAAGGGCCCTGGAGGGACCCTAAACCCTCCTGCCGCGCCCCGTGTGGGCCCCTAACTCAGCCGCGTCCTTCCCGCACGCCCCGGCCGAGCCGGACCCCACCGGTCCCAACACGGCCCCGGCCTAGAACTGCGGCAGCAACGGACCCGCCAGCTCCGACACCCTCTCCAGACTCCGCACCCCGGCCACCCGGCCCCGCGACTGAGCATGCGCACCAGGCCCCGGCCCCGACCTTCTGACCCCGCGGCCGAGCCTGCGCACCGCGCCCCGGCCCCGACCACCCAGCCCCTCAGCCGAGCATGCGCAGCGCGCTCAGACGGCCGAGAGCCGAGCATGCGCAGCGCCCTCAGACCGCCGAGAGCCGAGCGCGCGCGGCGCGCCCCGGCCCCGCCACGGCCGCTGGACCCCGCTAGCAGTGGCTTGGGGTGTGCGCGGGAGCTCGGGGGACCTGAGGGGCGACGTCTCCCGCCCGCCCACCCCGGGCGCGCCCCGTCCCCGCGTACCTTCCAGTAATAGACCCCGAGCCGGCGCAGCTGCTCCAGGCCGACCGGGCGGTCGGGCTCCGCGCGGTGGGGCCGCCGCGGGTCGTCGTCGGCCTCGTCCATGTACCAGGCCTGCACCATGGTCGGGCCGGCGCCGCGAGCCCCGGGTGCACCCTGCCTGTCTTCGGACCGCACTGGTGCCGCCCGGCCCGCGCCCCGACCTCGGTCCGCCCCGCCCACCGGCCGGCGGGCGGTGGGCGGGGCGGGCCTTTCTCCGGACCCCGCGGGAGGGGCACGTGCCCGGGCGCGCGCGGTCCCTGGCCCGAAGGCCCCGAGCGGGACGGGCTGCGCTTCCCCTGCGGCGCGGGGCGGGCTGGACGGCAGGTGCCGAGGCTCCGGGCCTGGTCCCCGGGGCTGGTCGCCGCTCCGCTCGGGGCGGCTCGGCGCGCTGGCCTGGGGATGCTCCAGAGGCTGGACCACAGCGGGCCAAGGACCGTCTGTTCCCGTCACTCCGTGGCGGGACGCCGTTTATCGTTCATGAGACGAAGCGGGAATCTGGACGGGGGTGTTGCCCTGTCCTAGGTAAACGGGGGCGGCCCGAGTCTTCGCTAAGTCATAAGGGGAAGAGGCGTCTCTGCAGAACACAGGGTGGGGGCATGCTTGGCGTCACCGCACGGGTGCACGGGGCCAGGTGAAATGACCACCACACGACTGCCTCATGGTTGGCGCCACAGTCTCCTTGGACGTGCAAAACAGTCTTGTGAAACGAACAATTTATATCGAGAATAAACAATTTATATTTTACAGGAAAGAAAGCAAATTCCAGGGGAGAAAAGGTGATTTTAGTAAACTCCTGCAGGCGATATGGGGCACAGCTGTGGCTGGAAGCCAGCTCAAATCACCACAGAGAACCCAGGTCTCCCCCAGGGTGGTGGCGCTCCTCCTGTGCATTCCCCCGATTTTTGCAGCATCAACAGTGTAGCCCTGCCCTGTGGTTTCACATCGCCTCCTTTCCCCTTTTCATCCCATCTCCCTTCCCCACATAGCAGTGTGTGACGTCCTAGGATAAAACAAGCTTCCGTTTCCCACTCCTTGAATTTCTAACCAGTTTAGCTCATAAGAAAGAAATTTTAAAAATACAGCTGCTTAATCATCCAGGTTTATCTTTTCAAAGCAATCAGCCAAAAAAGATCAGATTTTCTCAGAGATTCACCTGTCTCTCTAACAGAGAATCTAGTAACTGGAAAACCAACAGGATTTAAACTAGATTGTTTCAAGATGGCACAACTCCGAAGCATAGAGTCGACTCTGGAACTTCCAGAAACACCGTACAGAAAGCACACACATTTCATTTCTGTGCTCTTGCTCCAATCACTCTGCAAGTACTGTACCCACATCCTCCTTAGACAGACTGCCTCTCCAACTCTACTTGACCAGTTACTGCCCATCCTTCAAGATTCCCCCTGAGACTGTTGCCCATTTTTCTGCTGTGCTTTATGACAAAGCTTAGGGAAGAGTTGTCTCCACTGGCCGTCTCTCACCTCACGTGCTCTCCTTACCCCCCACCCTCCAGTAAAGCTTCTGTTCTCACTGCTCTAACAAGGTACCCAAGACCTCTGTGTTGCCAGATGCAGCCCTGTGTGTCTGTTCTTCTCAGCAAGTTCATCATACTTGCCGCTCCCTTCTTGGAACATTTTTCTTATTTTCCTCCACCTCACTCATTACTGTCTCCCACTTCTGACTCATCTCCTGGGTACGACCGTTTTATTGTGGAGTGTCCCCATGCTCTCTCCCTGTCCTATTCTCTGTCCACACACACTCTAGGTGACCTTGTGTAGTCCACGATACTCTGATGACTCCCACATCTGTATCTCTAGCCTGGACCTCTTTCCAGAGCCTGACTTGGGTATCTAACTTGGCATTGCCACATACATGGCTAATAAGAATCTCAAACCTAACTCGGCCGAAACAGAACTCTTGACGCAGACCTGTTCCTCCCTGGCCTTTCCCAACTCGGTGAGCAGCAGCACCAAGCACCCGGTGCCTTCATCCAAAGTCCAGGGGTTTTCTATGCCCTCTCCCTCACCCTCAGCACTCAATCAAACCTCTCAGCAAGTCCTGTTGCTCTGACCTTCAAAACACATCGCAGATCCGCTCACTTCCCTCCGTCCCAGCTCTTTCTGCCATTTTTCTTGCTTGATGGAATTGAGTACTGAAATTGAACCCCTGCTTTCTCTTTTGGGCCATGCAATCCATTCTGTGCAGAGCATATGTTTAAAAATACAAACCAGATCATGTCACTTCTCTGCCTTAACCTTCTTTTCCTAACTCTGTCTGGCTCCAAGCCCTGTGTAATCTGACTCCTGACCACCTCTCCAGCCCCTCTCCCTCCTGCCTATTTCTCTGCCCTCCACACACTGGCCTCTTAGTGTCTGAATCTCACAATCTTCCTTGCCCCAGGGCCTTTGCCCATGCGGTTTTTCCGCCTTCCTTCCTATGCTCTTCCTTCCTCCAGAGCACTTTTCTCCTATGCCTATTCCATTTTCAGCTTGAATATCCCTTCCTCAGCGGGGCCTTCTCTGACGGTGCCTGCACAGCTGGGGAGGTTTCCATTAGACCCCATCATGGTCCTGGTTTGTAATGATTCATTTGGCTCATGTCTGCCTCTGCATAGGACTGTCAGCCCTATGTTTCAAGTACTTGCTGAATGAATGAATTCGTATTGCCAATGACTCTGCATCTTGGGGTCAGAGAGTATGTCTTATTAGTCTTCCAATGCCTGGTGCCTGGTACATCATAGACAATAAAAAAAAGTTTGCCAAATGGAAGGGATGTGGTGAGAAACACTCCAAATAGTCTTCACAGCGTTACTCTAACTGCCTCCTAACCCAAATCAATGCTACTTCTGTCGTTCGCTAGAAAATGATAAGAGCGCTATGTGCTGGGTAATACTACGACAGCTTCACGTACATGGTTCCCTTGCCCTCACCAGCACCTGGTGAGGTAGGCACTACTTATCACTCACGTTTTAAAGACGAAACAACTGAGGCACAGACAGCTTAAGGCCAGGAATGGCGCTCAGGGAGTCTAGCCCATAACTGCTAAAATACAGCGCAGGAGGCGACGGTGCTGGTCTCACTCAGCCGGGGAGTTACTGCCTCTTGCAGGGGAAGATGCCTCCAACTCCCCTGGCCGCAGCAGCGCAGTCACTGGCACCATTCATCCATCTCAAGCAGATTTCTTTTTTTTTTTTGTATTAGCAGGGAGGAAGGGAGCTGTTTCATGTCGTAAACAACATTCTTTGGAAACGGAAGACAATTGGGAGGCCCTGAAGAATTGCCAAGTTGCCCGGCCCTTGCTGCCAGGACCAGTCCAAGCAAGCTGAGTTGGATGGCAACAGCACCCATGATTTTCAAATGACCACTGCTGGCCCACGGGATTCCTCCTTTGAAAAGGCATCTTTGGCCTTGAACTACTTCTTCCAGAAGAACAGTCAGCAGCAGCCCCAAAAATATGTTTCATGACCAGAATTTATCACCCTAATGTAGGCAACTTAGGAAGAATCTGATTAGATGTTTTGAAAGACAGACAGAGCCCCTCACTGCAGACCTGCCTGCACAAACCGTTATCCATCCAGGCTCTGTGACGTGCTCCCAACCCAGGGGTCCACTGCCAAACCATGAGGGGATACGGCAAAGCAGTGGAAGACCAGGGAACCGGAGCTGTTGAAACACAGAGGACGTGGACAAGCAGACTTCCTCTGTGAAGGGCCAGACAGTAAGTCTCTAAGCTTTGAGGCCAAGAAGCAAAATCAAGGATGATACACAGACCTTCAATAACAAGCTTTTTTTTCTTTTTTTTGGTGAGGAAGGTTGGCCCTGAGCTCACATCTGTACCCATTTTCCTCTATTTTATATGTGGGACACCACCACAACATGGCTTGATGAGCAGTGCATAGGTCTGTATCTGGGATCTGAAACTGCAACCCCAGGCTGGCAAAGTGGAGTGCACAAACTTAACCACTACAGCACTGGGCCAGCCCACATAGTTTGTCTTTTGAAAACAGGATACAAAAATCATGAGGGAGTATACAACTCCAAGAACAATATGTTGATAATAATTCTGTTACTACTAATAATAATGAATGGCATTTGTTGAGTCCTTATTATGAGCTAAGGTCTTTCATTCATGATCTCTTTAGTGAGAATGAAAAAAATCCACTCTGGACACAAGGATGTTTTCTGAGTCCCAGCAGTCCGAGGCTGTCCAGACTGGGCGAGTTAGTTCTAAAGTTCATTCCTAGTTGTTTTGAAAGAAAAGGAGATCAAAGAATAAGCTGAAGCTCAGTGAGCCTCACCACTGAGGTCAGTACTTGCCAGCACTGTACAATGTGCCTGCCCACCATGTGCCCGCGCTCACTCATGTGCCCGCTCCCGGTGTCCCTGCTCCTGGAGGTCCTGTGCTGGACCAAGGGGTGAGCTCATGAAACAGACAGACTGTCTTGGTCTTTCAGCTCCCCCTTAGCCCATGGGCTTAAAACAGCTCCACTCATAACCCTCACTCAGGGCTTTATCTTCTACTTCAGCGGGTCTCAAACTTTCTAGTGGTCCTTAAAAATGTGGGGTACCCCAAGGGGCTTCTGCTTATATGAATTCTATCTATTGATATCTCCATTTTGGAAATTGGAAATGAGAAAAAAAATTATAAGTATTTAGGTGTTAATTCATCTAAACATAACAATGATAACCAATTACATATTAACAAATAACATTTTATGATAAAATCGTATTTTACAAATAAAAAATAATGAGAAGAGTGGCATTTACTACATTTTTCTGAACCTCTTTACTGTCTGGCTTAATAGAAGAAAGGGGATTCTCATATCTGCTTCTGCCTCTAATGTCTTGACACGTTATTTTGGTCAAATTACATGAAGAAAATCCAGCCTCACACAAATTTGTAGTTGGAAAAGGGAGGAATATTTTAATAGCCTTCCAGATAGCTGAAGACATTCATCTTTGACACGACAGCAAAGTTCAACAAGTGGTAGGTTCTTCAAAGTTGGTTGCAATGTGGGATCTGACAACCCTATCGATGATTTCATACTCTGTCACGTCGCTCTGTCTTGGACTCTCGGTACATATTTCATGATAGCTGGCGTTCGACGTTTTGAAAATATTGATTCACTAAGTTATGCATATTTTCCAAATGTTAACACATTTTGTTATACAATAC